GGATTTGATTCTCGGGCTGCCAAAAACCACGCGTGGCCACTCTGGCATTGTGGTTTTTGTCGATCGCTTGTCGAAGCAGATCTTGCTTGCTCCAGTCGGAGATGACACCACAGCACCTGTCATTGCGAGTCGCATATATTTGGACACTGTCTTCCGCCATAAGAACCTGTCCAGACACATCCACTCAGACCGGGACCCCCGATTTACTTCTCACTTTTGGCGCACCCTTTTCAAGTTACTCGGCTCCAATGTCACCCATGGGCCATACAACCGCCTCCCACCCCGAGTCTGACGGCCAAACCGAGCGCGCCAACCGGGTTGTCGAAGAAGTCCTACGCCACTACGTCCACGCCCGGCACACTGACTGGGACGTTCACCTCACCCCGGTGGAATTCTCCTACAAATAATTCCAAACAGGCCTCCACCGGTTACTCTCCCTTCTTCCTAACCACTGGCCAACACCCCCTCACACGTGACCCGGTTCGCTCCTCAAACCACCCTCCTCCGACATTCCCGCAGTCGACTCCTTCCTCCAAACCATCGCCACCGCCCTTGACCATTCCAAAACTCTCCTCGCCCTCGCCCAAAACCGCCAAAAACAATACGCTGACACACGCCGCCGCCCTCTTATCCTTCACGCCGGGGACCAGGTCTACCTGTCCACCTCTAACCTATCCCTCCCCGGCCGGACACAGGTCCGCAAACTTTCCCAAAATATATATCGGTCCCTTCCCCGTCCAACAGGTCATCTCTGAAACCCCTTACAAACTCCAGCTCCCAGACCACATGCGCATCCATCCCGTCTTCCACGTGTCCCAATTCAAACCCTTCACTCCAAACGATGACGCCACTTTTCCAGACTGAAATCCCCCGCCACCTCCTCCAGTAATGACAAACACAAGCCCAACACACCCCATCGAGCAAATCATCGGTTTCCGCGAACTGCGCCGCGGAAATCGCACAAAACTCCAGTACCTCGTCACCTTCCGGAACCTCCCACTCCACGAAGCCCGCTGGGTTGACTCCGCCCTGGTCGAAGAACAGGCTGGCAACGAGGACGTTGCCGATGATTCGAGGGGGGGCTAGCTGCAACACGTGGCAGCTTGGTATCCTTTTTTGATGATTATAAGCCGTCGATCATAATCTTGACTTATCTTGCGCTTTCATCCTTAAGCCATAACGGCTAATTATCCATTAGGAACGTTGAGACTCTTGCTGCACATTCTTGCTTATGTTGACCAATCTGCACATGGCTGCCGTGAGCTCGGATCTGAGGATCTGAGGATCCGAGCTCAACCTATGAATGGTAAATGTCTTCACCTTCAGGGCTCATTCTTGGATTCCTGGAATTCTTGAAAGTTGACCAGAGCCTTGCTTTCTTCTTTAGACACTTATCAGCCAGTCTATGCCTTGTAAAAATCAGAGCTTTTCCTAGTAAAAATAGCTTCCGATTACACAATTAGTTAAAATTTGAGGCTCAGATCAGCCTACGGTCGGCCACGCGGACAGAACTTATGGTGACGGCCTACGGGATCCGACGTGGAACTTTGGCGGCGTCGGAACTAGGCCACTTCTGACAATTAGATGCCTTATTGGCATGCACCATGCCAAGCAATCAATTATGGTCATGCCATAGTCTCAGGCTTGCAAGATAATGCTGTCCGTGAACGTCATGTCAATGACTAAGCATACTTATCTTGCACTCTACGAACTATTCGGTGGCTTGACTCCACATTGAGGATTGTATACATCTAGGTCATTTATCTTTCTAAACTTTCAAATCTTTCAAGTTTCCAAATTTCCAAATTTGTTTGATCGCCAAAATTTTCTCGAAAATTTGTTTTTTATTTGTTTTTCCCATTTGTACTTCAAAAGTGGAAAATGTTTTCAGCAATAATAAATTGTTGACGTCAGCAAGAATGACGTCAGCAAAACGTACCTTTTGTCATGCATGTGTATGACATGCTGCGGCGATGCTAACGGGTTCTATACGATCAACGTGCCACTCGACGGCACTTGGGGTGCACTTGTAATTGTAATGGTTGGGCTCTTAGAGATGTAGACCTTCCGCCACCCCGGTGGCTTCAAATTGACTGCAACTGCAAGTTGAAGCCTCCGCAACTTCAAGTCAAAGCCACCGACCCGGGTGAAGATATATAGTTTTGCATCGGTGCGGCTGCACGTCATCTACGTTATGCCGTGGCCCCCGGTTCAATGGAGCATAAGTTGAGGCCGGGGACGCTTTACCGGCCCTGCTCAAAGTAATATTCGCCGGCCTCAAGCTTCCTAGGTATAAGCGCAGGGTATAAGTCACTTGACCCCGCATGCAACATCGGTCAAGAGGGCGTGGGTTTTTGGACCGATCCGGCTGAAGAGGGCAGCGCCTATACCAGGCATGGCCCGCCCTATCATATCACGTGGTCGCAACTCCGCATATGGGCAGAATATGCGAGCCTCGATTGGGCCTGTAATATCGGGTCATCAGTTGTGCACCGACGAACTGATGTGGGGCAGGCTCAGCGGCGTATAGAAACAATACACCCATAGCTTATCCAATCTTGCTGAATGTATGTACACACAACCAACGTACACGGTGTGCACTTTTCTGTGCGAACCGTGTTGGTACCGTAGGCACAGCCGGCTTGCCTATCTACCCGGTGTAACCGTTTATATACCTATATAGATATACATATGTACGTATATAGACATACTCTCTTCCCCCTAAAACCCCTTCTTCATCCCTCATTTCTTCACTTTCCTGCCACGTCATCAACCCCCACTTTTAGGTACAGGCCAGGACTAAACATCACTGACTTTGTTGGGGTCAGGGTTCGCCCTGACCCCAACAAAGTCAGTGATGTTTAGTACGTATGTACCGGGCATTTACAATGTTTAAGGCATATTGTAAATGCCCGGTGCATTTACAATATGCCTTAAATACTGAATCTTAGTCTGAGCGAAGCGGGACTTAGCCTTTGTCACGTAAAACTGCTCGCGACGCAGAACATTCAAAACAAGACGCATGTGCGCTTGATGCTCTCCCTCACACTTCGAAAAGATCAGAATGTCGTCTAAACACACAACGACAAACTTCTTCAAATACGGCGCAAAAATCGAGTTCATAACCGTCTAAATGTCGCCGGAGCATTTGTCAGACCCTCGATCAACACATTAAACTGAACGTGTCCAAAGACGTACAGAAAGCTGTCTTCGGACGATCATCCTCCGAGATTAAAATCCGATGATACCCAGATGTCAGATAAAGGGAAGTGAAATACTGCGAACCACTCACAACATCCAACAGATCGTCAATGCGAGGAATCATACAACGATTCTTCTCAGTTTTCGAGTTTAGTGCTCGATAATCCACACACAGACGAAGATCACGCCCCTTAGGCTTAGAGACAAACAACACAGGCGCACCGTACAGAGACTGGGAAACTTCCAGGATTCCAGCCTTGAGAAACGCGGTGACCTGCTTTTCCAACTCAGTCACGATATTCCAATGGAGATAAGCGGTACATCTGCCGAAACGTATGAGGATGAATTGGCTCGCTAGGAATATAGTGACCTTCAGCACGCTCAGGAGGCAGACCAACCGGAAGAGGATCCTGAAGAACTCCGGTTCATTGAACAGATCAGAAACCCGTTTCTTCTCACTTGAGACTGGGTTGCTCGGTTGGACAGGTTGGACGGTTGGCTCAGACAGTGTAGTGGCATGATCTGGGTTGTCCACAGCCACGGAGCCAGCTACAGCAGCGGTAGAACACGAGGCGGCGTTATGGTCAATTGGCTTCAACGACGCCAAGTATACGCACGCTCCCTGCTT